GTTTTGTTTTTAAGTATTAAAATAAATATGGTTAAATTTATACTCAAAAAAGAACACTGGACAAATAAAGAGCACCCTAGGAAGGTGTCAGTACTGTAAGTGAAAGGGCCAGATTGGAGGCTGCTGTAGTAGTCCTGGAAAAGATATTTTGGACTAGGGCAGTGATAGTGGAAGTAGAAAAAAAATTGATGGATTTATGAGAGAGAGAAGAAGTAGAATTGATACATCTTGGAAATTGATAAGCTATTGAGGTTAGAGTAAAAAATATCACCATCTTTCAGATGTCTGATTTCATCATTTTTGTGAATGGTGTCACCATTCACTGAAATGGGTAACACTGAAGGAGAAGGAAATTGTGGTAAGAGAATGAGTTCAGTTTTGGACATAATGAGTTTGAAGCACTTCCGAGATACATAGGAGCTCAAAGGAAGAGTGGACTAGAAATAGAATTGGGAAGTTGACTTTATACAGACAGTATATGATAGGGCCTGGGTACCTCCTAAATATATCTGTTAGTGGAGACGGGAAAGGCAAACCAGGAGTGTTTCATAAAAGTGCTATCACAAAAGTCAAGAGAACAGACTAGGTCCAGGAGGAAGTACTCAACTGTGGCAACATGCTGTTGCAGTGTTTACTGGATTTAACAACATGGAGGTCAGCTGGTCATGGAGCCAGTGGTGTGGTGGGCCCAGAACCCCAGCTTGGACTGGGAGATCAGATGAGAGCAATGCCTCAGATGGCACCTGGCTGAAGAAACCCTGACAAGTACTCAACTGGGAAATTGCACTGTTTCTTTTGGTTGAGCCTAAGAGCCAGGCTTCTCATTTGGTGACCTGAAAAAAAGAATTTGCCTGTAATAGCCTTAAATTTAATCTGAATGCCTGCCTTTTGCTACAATATTATTTATATGAGGATGTATTTAGTGTTTTTGTTTATCACATGCTAAATTGGTACATTCTCCTTGTTTCTAGATCCACTGTTCAGGTTTAGGCCCTTCTTATCCAGCCTAGGTTATTATGATAGTCCAGACCAATACTGTCCAGAAGAATTTTCCGTGATGATGGAAATTCTTGCCCAGTTTAGTAGCGAATAGCCATTGGTTGCTTTTGAGCACCCGAAATGTGGCTAGTGTGACTCAGGAACTGAATTTTTAATTGTTAATTAATTTAAATCTAAATAGGCACATGTGGCTAGCGATTGCCATATTGGATAGTGTGGAGCTAGACGACATTTTTGAGAGGATGGGCTTTGAGGGGAAGAATGATAAAGTGATAGCTAAAGAGGGATTCAAATGTCTTGTTGTAAGTAATACATTATGGTTTTGAAGCCCTCGTGTGTTTTGTGTAAAATTGTGAAAAATACCCCATTTATTTCATTATTGTGAGAAATATCCTCTTTAAATATAGAGTGGGTTTAGTTTCTGCAAATCCTCCATTACCGATTTGACCCTTTATTAAAGTCTTGGAATATTTAGTATATCAGTACTTTATTTGCGATTTTAATGCTAAATATTTAATAGATTTATTTTTTAAAATGTTGATTTTTTGAAGGAATTTTCTATAAGGAGAAACAAGATTGAATTAGTCTTGGTTTCTATTTATATGCGTATAATGCTTGTCATGTGCTAAAGTTAAGTGCTTTATGTACATTACTCTCTTGATCCTCACAAGGACTATGTGAGGTACATACTTTATTATCTTGATTTTACAGATCAGAAAACTAGGGCACAGAGTTCTTGCCCAGGGCCACCTAGTAGAATGTAGTAGGGTTGGGATTTGAACCCAGGTAGTTTTGAGCCTGACGTGTAAGTTCTCAATGATTATACTATACTACCCCCAAGTCAACAGACTAATTATTTTTTTATACTTCCAGTTTTATATAGATCCGTATAAGCTGTTGCCACTGCAGAGGTTTTTACCTCGACCTCCGGGTGAGAAGGGACCTCCGAGAGGCGGTGGCAGGGGTGGTCGAGGAGGAGGAAGAGGAGGAGTTGGCAGAGGCGGTAGAGGCGGTAAGTTACTTGTGGGAGAAACTTTCTAATGAGATTTCAAAGCTGCAGCCAATTCATATAGTACAATTTTGTATATAGGCAAACCTTCCTTATGTTTATTATTATTTTATTTTTAGTAATGCTATTTTAAAATCTTGGCACATTGCTACAGTAATAATGCTTAGTTTCAGTAACTTATTTAAAAAAGAAAAAAAGTATAATTTTGAGGGAATTCATCTCTTTGGCTTATTCATGTTTTGTTGGGCATTTTATAAAGTATAAGATTATCATAACTGAGTTTTAGTTAATATCACTGAGTGTTGATTATATGCGGAGAGCTGGTCAGATAGTCTTTTAATATCCAAGTGTATTCTTTTAATATTCAGCAAAACCTTGCAAGGTAGGTGATATCCTTATTTTATGGGTGAAGAAATGGAGGCTTACAAAAGGTAATATGCCCTAATCAAAAATTGGCAGCCCAGAAATAAAATCTGTATCTTCTGATAAGTCAAAGATCACTACCAATAAATTAATTGTTTGAGTTCAGTATTTTGACATATGTGTTTCCCCAAAGCTTTGGTACATTCCTCATTATGGGCAACTAGCCAATAGGCAGGCTTGGGGATGATGTGTGGGCGTATGACCAGATGTTGGGCACAGCGAAAGTGGTAAGGAAGAGGAGCTGAAAATTGGGATTGGAAAGCTTGTTACTGGATCAGAAAGAGAACTATTCCTACCTTTGCCTCTCTCAATTTAGTAATTTCCCTCTGTAAATGTACTTTTGGGGGTCTAGATAGCTAGAAGATAATCTCAAGAGATCTGAATATCTTTCTTAAATATTTTTGGGAATACCCCCTTTGATAATTTGGTGAAGAGAGATTCACTAATTCCTATTCTATATTTAGTCTCACATATAACATTAAAAATAATTCACAACCTTAGTCTTTTTTAAAACCTTTGTATTTTTATACAGTTTTTTAGAAGTACATATTTGTTTCTTTTTATAATTTCTGTTTTTATAATTCATCATTCCTTACAGAGTTAGCACCCAAAATAAGTAAAAACGGAGACTGAAGTAGGAAGCCGACAAGTGTTGTATAATAGAAAAATGCTGTAAAAATTTAAAATTTGAAGGCTCATCAACATGTGAGGATCAGTCATGGTCCATATGTAGCTCAGTTAACCTTAAACACTGTATTTATTGTAACATCCCCAGAGTGAACCTGCCCATATCTGCTACCCTTTGTTCTTAGGATAAAAAGCCTTTGTTCAATCAAAAAAGTATTTACCCTAATCAAAATTAAGATACCCATAACATTTAACGATAGGGCTAAATCAAACTTCAAAGTAACAAGCTTTTCTAAGTCATTAAAACAAAATACTTGTTTAAAAAGTTGTAATCTAGGGTTTTTAGCCTGCTATTCAATTGGGAAACTTACTACGGTTTCTCCATTTTTATCTTTTAAAAAATTTTGCAAGGTAAAATATGTAAATCTATAGTTATTATTCTTTATAATTGTAGGAATTATATTTTTATTTGTAGGGTTATCAGAATATGATAGGCCAAGGTATTTCATAAATAGTTCCTTGATTTTTAGGTGGTTTTAGAGGTGGAAGAGGAGGTAGAGGTGGCGGCTTCAGAGGAGGAAGAGGAGGAGGAGGTGGTTTCAGAGGTGAGTATGAAAAGAATCTTTAAATGACTGAATTCTAGAATCGGTATTGTCTGCTGTTTTAAAATATTTAGTTTTATTTCTGTTTGCCAGCAAATATAAAGAACACCATAGTGTTCTTTGCTTTAGCCTCATTTTTAGCTTCATTTTATATCACTTTTCTTTGCTTTTCCCTTGGAATTTTTTCACCTACTTCTAATTTATTTTGCTGCTTTTCAAATTTGAAAAATAAAAAGGTGTAATATGAATGAGTTAAATTTGGGAACGTAGGTTTGCTAAACATTGCAAGAACTGATGCTAATTTTAAACTTGATATTTGAGTAACAATACTATTAAAAAATTCATTTTTCTATACCCTTAATACTTTCATTTTCTTTTAATCAGGGAGAGGACATTAAGTGTAACAGTTGACAGAGAAACTTCATCAGTTGGTTTCCGCATTAACCTGCGTGATCTACTTCTATGGATCAGAAAGCTGTTTCTTGAGCAAGTCTTGAAGAACTGGTCATTTTATGACAGTGCACTAAAATGTCAATGGCATACAAACATGAGTGCAACGGAATAGGCAGTTTTGCTCTAAAAGAGTATGAACAGTGTTTTAATGTTTTGTATAATGCTTGAAGCTGAATGAATGGATAGTTTTCATTTGAAGCATATTTGAATTTTTAAAATAAATTGTTTTATTCCTTTAAGTTATTTAGAGCTGTGTTTATTAAACCAGAAGAATTTTTAAGTTAAAATGAACAACCAAAGCTTAAACCCAGTGGATTTCACATAGAAAAAATGGTTTGTTTACATAAATAACTGATCTTTAAAAAAATTGGCTAAAGGAAAAACACTTCAACATTATATGTAAACTAATACCCCTTTCAAAATGTTTGCCTTTTGTATATGAGAACATCTCCCTGTATTGTATTTTTCTTTTGTGTGTTGGTAAAGTGATTTCTCTAATTGCAATTAAAATTAATTGATTAGAAATTTTTAGTATTGATTATAAATCAAAGTTAGAATAAAGTTCAAAGTGAGAACTGAAGTTTAGGTTATTTCTGAAGAAACATTTAATTTTTCTCATTCAATATAGATTGACTGTTGAAAGATTCACTGAATGTTCCTATTTTACCTTTAAAGGGACTCTAAAAGTTTGAGCTGTAATTCACCGTAGGTAAACATTTGATTGCCTGCTACACTTTCAGATTCCTGGCTAGAGACATTTCAAACGAAATTGGTTTTGCTCTCTATTGCTAGTATCAAGAAGTAACTATGATAGCAAGTTAGAATACTGTGATACAAGACCATTTCCCCTGCCAATGATTTTTTTCTCCTTTATTTGGGTGTTTTCTCAGAAGGAATGATGTTGCCATATCATTTCTTAGATTTTCTAACCAAATACTTGGTTAACTCTTGAATGCTCATTTGAGTAGCATATAGTATTGCCTATGCCAATATTAGGGGTTTTACTTATCTTTTTTGATTAATGGAATTGCAGCAGATTTAGTAAATATGTAGGCCATAAATACATATGATGAAAAAAATATGTTAAAAATTACTGTTGCACAAGAAGCTTTTACAATGTGGGAAAGGAGGCTATTTGTTAAAATCCTTGGGTTGAATTTTCAGTGAGCGTTAGGGCCAAGGTTTTTACTTTGGGTTTGTAAAAGACATGGCAAGCTCTAGCAGGGCCATGACATCATCCCACGGACAAATAATAGTGCAACGTTCCTATACTTTTTTTGAACATTAAAAAAACGTCTAGAATGGCTGTGATGGCAATATGTATAGATCGGCAGACAAACCATTTGGAGACGTCACCTTTTACTTAGGTATATCTTTTGACTATTGGCCATCTTTGAACTTTTATTTCCATATCTTATTTTTTTTCCCTTTCTTATAGTAGTTTTTTTCTGGATTTCCTTTGGGACATTTAGTTTTGAATCAAGTTCATATATTTAGGGAGCCTAATATTAGTGATTTTGGTATTTTGATATCACTGAGTTCCATTGTAAAAGATTTTGATTATTCACATATTAGATCTTTTGAGTTTTAACAAAAACATTCTGATTGCATCATGTTAAAGTGCACCTGTTGCCATAGGAATTAAACAGTTTAATGGAATTAAGCAGTTTCCTAGTATTCCTGAAAATTTGAGAAGAGTATGAAAGAATTGACTTTAGGCAAGTGAAGTTTATGAAATTAAAAAATTGTGAGCTATGTAAATGTTTTGATGTGAAATAGTTATATTTCTTAGTATTCTAAGCTTCATCCCAATATAACTTTTCTGTGTCACTCAGGAAAGAAGCATGAAAAAGTACATTGAATTGAACCTGCCACCCTCATATTTGTAAAATTTTTATCTGCAGCAGACAGTTGGCTATCTTTGAAATTATTATTCTTCAGCTTTTATAAATCGAAGTATAAATTAGTGGATAATACAGCTAGGTATAATCTATTACAGAAAAAGAAGGGACTATGAACCAAAGCATACTATTTTTTTTTTTTCTACATGCTGGATCCCCTTACCCCCCAAAAGTTTCAAATTCCAGTAACCCATAGATTTTTAAAAGCGAGAGTTCTACTTGAGTTTTATGTTCATTGCTTTGGAGTTATTTGAAAATATTTTAGAATTGGAATATTGATGAGATTCACTTTGCTAGTATAGATACTCTTTGGAGTATTACTTTACATTTATTAAAAATTTGAGTTCTGGTAGCTATAGGGTCTGGGACTGGTTCACCCAACCGATTTAACTTCTTCAGTTTTTATAGGTAGCCGAGAGAATTGAGGCAAAAGCAGGCTCTGGTGCCTTCTTGCTAAGCCATTCTACGAGTTATAAAATGAAGTTAAATGGGTAGATAGAGCCCTCTAGTGGTTCTTCTATATGCTTACACTGTTAACTTTGGTGCATCTAGCATTTCTCTAAAGTTACTAATTGTAATAAATTCACTGTTAAGAAGAATCAGGTTTTAATATTACATGGCATAAAAATATAGGTAAAAAAGTGTTGGGGATTCTAACAATAAATGTTCTTATTCTAACAATAAATGTTCATGTCAGATTCTAACCCACTTATGTAACCCAGTTTTTGTTTTGTATAACAAGATAGTCCAGAATATTAGAATTGCCCTGCCCTTTACAGTGGTCCCCAACATTTTTGGCACCAGGACCCGGTGCTCCCATGAGAATCTAATGCCTGATGATTTGAAGTGGAGCTGAGGCAGTGATACTATCGCTGGGGAGCGGCTGCAAATACAGATGAAGCTTCACACTGCTCACCTCCTCCTGTGCAGCTGGTTCCTAACAGGCCATGGACAGGTACCTGTCCACAGCCCTGGGTTTGGGGACCCCTGATTGTCAAGATGCTTGAATCTAGATACTTGACTGATGTATGCAATGATTATTATTATCAGGTAATTGCACATATCAAAACGTGGAGTAAATTAAGTGGATTGTGAAGTAGGTTGTGGTATGAAAATATAACTATTAAGTTAGATTTGTAGACCTGGGATTTATATGGCTTTAGAGGGAAAAAACAAAGATATAGAATGATTTCATATATGCATATCTCCATATTTTTACTTAAAGTGGGAGAAACATCAAACTCATGTGTGAGTATGTTTGTGTAAGCAAAGAAAAGCAGGACATATACCAAACAATATTATTACCTTTAGGGGTGTGACATTCGGATGAAGGGAGATTATTTATTGTCTCTAGTAAATTGTTATGGGAAAATAAAGGAACTAAAATGGAAAAACTTGAAAGGGTTAACTGAAAACGGACTTTGAATAGTTTGAGAGGACTAAGTCTGGCTCTTAATTTCAGAACTGATTTCCAGCAGAGAACCGTTAAGTCAGCTCCTGCACTGGTTTTCTGAGTATGTTTATTGTGTAAATGGGATGTTTGCACTTGATAATCTCCTTAGATATAAGGCTGATGTCCAAATTGGTTAAAATGTGGGCCTTGGTATTTCTCTTTATTTTGCTAATAAGCTTTTCCCTTGTTCTGGGAGTTAAAATCCTTTCCCCTTGGGCCAATCACATTTGGTACAGAAGGGCCTCTATGAAAAGGCCATTCTTTGAGGTCTTGAAGTGGAAATGATTGGTTCTGAAAATTCTTCCCTCAGTGGCATTTATACCTTCATAATTATTGAAGGCTTATTGTGAAGGCTCTTTCAATATCTTCCCTCCAAAATGCTAAGGAATAATTTAGGCAACAGTTCAAACTCTAAAAATGAAGATGGCTCTGTCTTTTCACAGACTGAACACAATATTGTTGCAACTTACTTGATTATCGCAGGTACGGATGTTTAATTACTCCATTAACAGTAATTTTGCTGTCGAATGGGTGAAGAAAAGCAGTGGTTTTCAGCATAAGGAGTAGAAAAAGGATGGCTTCAGAGAGAATGTTTCAAGTTCCTTATTGTCGGCCAACCTCCAGAAGTCACTTGTCTTTTATAAGCTGGAATGCTTATGTAAATAAGGATGATAATACTTGCTATATTTCCTGGCTGTAAAGATCAAATTAGATAATGTAGGTAAGAGGATAAATGAAAGCGTTGTTAATGGTTGTTAATATCATAAGTTACTTTGAATCTTGATAAACAATGAGAGCAGTGAAGTGGAGCTGAGAAAAGTTTTCTATGAAATGAATCGTTCTTTTATATAATCATCCATATCTTTGGTTATTACATTGTTATATTAAGTTTTAATTGGGGAAGACTCTGCCATGGCAAAAATGTGTTTTTATGTCATTTACTGTTTTCATGCATCCTTTTCATAGTTTTGTACTTGGTGGAAATCTAGTTAAGATCAAAAGATCCTCCTGGAAAGAAAAAGTCATAAAAAGAGAGTAGAGTGTATTGTCATTGAGGACAGAGTGAAAATTCAGCTCATTCCAGATTGCTGTATTGAAAAACTCTTGAGCTTTCTATTTCATTTTTTAGTATCTTTACAACATTGAACAAATTCCTTCACCTTTTTGTTCTCCCATTTTCTCATCTGGAAAACAGCATAAGAATAAGCTACTTATCACAGTTGTTATGAAGAGTAAAATTAAATGACACATAAATGCACCTAAATGACACAGTGTTTGTTGGACAAATACTTGTTTCTTCCTCCCCACATATACACATTGATGTATATATTGGATTAAGATAAATATTTATTTGCCAAAAAAATAACAAAAACAAAAGGGAGAAATGACAGTAGAAGTTCTCTGATTCTCATCTTTACATATAAATTGTATAAATTTTACAATCGAGCAACCATTTCATTTCCAACTGTGCTCAATAATGCATTTTAGAAGTAATTCTGTTATCTTGGCTTATTTTTTGGATTGATTTATGAAAATTTTCAAATATATTCACAAGCAGGGTGAAAAGTAGAACAAATCTTAACTGTACCCAGTTTATTCTTTATAATTGCTTAGTTTCCCCATAATTCACAGAGTATTACTTCAGTGCTAGCTGGCAATTGTGGTTCCTCAGTTAATTTTTGTAAATTTCAGGTGTATGCTAACCCATTCATTTGAATACATCTGTATGATAAGTACTGGACAAGTTCTATCTTTGATTGTTTTGTTGTTGCAACCATATGAGAAAACAATAAGCTACTTAAAGAGAAAACCTTACAACAATTACATAAAAATACTTTGTATACAAACTTTTGGTTTAGTTTTTTGTGGATAACCAGGAAAGGATAGCATTTTTGATCTGGTTACAAAAATAACATGCAAAGAAAATTTTCTTTTAAGAAATGTTCTCTCTGGTTCTTATCTCTGTAGCTTTAATGGTAGTAATCTTATTACTATGATTCTGATGACTGCGACCACCACTGCTGCTGCTACTATAAAAGTGTTTGAATAGTTAATATATAACAAACACCGTTCTAAATATGTGTACAGAATAACTCATTCTTACATTAATTCAGTAAGCGAATTAGTTTTTTCCTCATTTATCCAGATGAAGAGTTTAGGTAACTTGGCGAACACACACATCTACTAAGTAGTTTATACCAGGATTTGAACTCGGGCATTTTGGTTCCGTAGCCCTCACATATAAACACAAGGGTCTGTTTTATCAAAGAATACTGTGAGTGTGTATTGTTTGTTTGTGTTTTGGGTAGATGAACTGAAGGAAGCATATCTAACCTCTTTATGCTTTCGTTCAAACATTTGTTCTTTACTTCTCCAAATTTCCCCCTTTAACAAAACCCACTTAAACTTCTAAACCAAATCCAAAACTATGAAGAAAAGAATTCAGTCAAAGCATTTATTTTATTCGTTACTTTTACCAAAAGCCTATTTAGAGTTTTCATTTTAAATTTAATTTTTAATTTATTATTTCTCTTAAATTTTAGCTTACGAACTTTTACCAACTTGAGCAGTCTCCCTTTCTATAATTAAGGCTAAAAGGCAAGAGGGTGAATTAAGGATCTGAAATAAATTCATTATGAATTAATTGTTAAATGAAGGGTGAGAACTATTAGGCTAAAGAGAATATCTGTGTACCAGGTAATGAAGAACTGAAAAAGTTTTAAAGGCAAGTCACTGAATGACATGATTCAATTTGTGCTTTAGAAATGAGCTATAGTAGTAGCTATGTGGGAGATTCCTGCATGATTAAGATTAGAAAGGATCCTGAGGAAGGAGTAGGGACAATGGGGACAAAATAGTAAACACATTTAAGAGCTAGAAGTTAGACTTGATGGTTGAATGTGGAGATTGGGGGAGAAGGAGAGGGAACATCAGAGATGACAACTAGATTTCCTTTTCGGTGTGCTAGATAGATGACAAAGCTATTCACCAAGATAGGAACACACCTGGGTAAAAGAACAGGTTTGGGGCAGATGGAGAAGTTTCTGCATTCTGTTTGAGAGACGTCCATTAAAAAGCTGGACATATCGGTTTGAATTTTATATCGATTTGGAAAGTATCAGCGGAAAGCCTTGGATATGTATGAAATCACTCAGAGTATGTGTTGAATGTGAAAAGAAAGGTCTAGGACAGAAACTTGAACAATGCACATATTTAACAAGGTAGAGATGAAGAAAGGTCAGGAAGAAGGATCTGCCAAAGAAATTGGAGAAAAGCCACAGAAGCCAAGGGAAAATTAACTTAGACCTAACCGTTAAATGACCTTTGTCTATTCATTGGGAAACACAGCAAGGGAAATGAAGCAGAGTGCTTGAGACAGTGGCAGAGAGAACAGAGAAAAGGGCTAAATTGTTTACCTTGTTTACCTCACACCACCCATTGTAACTAAGACCTCCCCCAAAGCACAGCTACTTTATTTTGGTTGCACACTTGGTAGGCAGCAACTTGCTGCACAGTGTCTGACTTTAAATCATCAAGTTTGTAGCTAGCCCAGAAAGATTCTTCAATTCAGTAAGCTTTTTGAAATATTTCTTGAATACATGCTATAATACTAGATGCTAAAAGTGGAGCCAAATAATCATCAAATTTGCTGTCATTGTGCCTTAATTATGCTTTTCAGGAATAATAGAAATTAAGCAATACGAGTTTTAGTTGTGGTCCATTTATTATATAAATCTGCTATGTGTCACATAGTCAAAGAACGTACAAATCATTAGGAGTCTGAAATCTATATGGGAAAACTCGGAATATGTAAAAGTTAAACATATAGCATCACATAAGATTGAGTGTAGTATAAGCAAGTCCCTTGGGAATTTAGAATATACTGTCAGTAGGAAAAGGCTTTGTGGCAGAATTGGGCTAAACAGAACTTCGAAGGATGGGTAGCATTTGTATAGATAAAGTAGGGTGTTCCAAGTGGGAGAAGTATGAGTCAAAATTTATAACAAGTATTTGTCGTATTTGATATTTAACTGGTGTATTTGATATTTAACTAGAATGGAGGGTTTGTTTGACAAATATGAAAATTTCCTTGGAGAGGGTGAAAACAGTTTGAGGCAAAGAGTCTGCAATATCAGATTGATACAGATGGACTTGTATCCCACAGGCTGGAGAGTACTGGACATTTGAGGAGGAGAAGAGCTGTGGTTAATTCTATGTTGTAGTAAGCTCGTTCTGCCAGCAGCATGGAGTGGGAAAGAATGGGAATCTGGAAGATTAGTGTAACAGGATGATAAATGGAAGTTTTGACTAGGGTGCCAAGATATGATAGAAGTTCCTCCTTAGCTGATGCTTTTGTGTGTTGGTGTTTGGAAACCATCCCTCTTTCAGACAATAGCTGGGAAAACTGCTCACCAGTTTTTCTTCACAATGGTGAAAACAACCCTATTTCCTTGGTTGCTTATCCTCCTTTAGCTGCTAGGACTCCAGTAATGGCTCTAGCATCTTTTTCTTCATCCCCCACCCCCACCATTAGAACCTAGTATGGCTCACAGCAGTTTTATGGGAAGGGTACACATCCTTTGCAACATGTAGGGGTGTTAATCAGACTAACACACACATCTGGTCTACTCAACAATATTCTCATTGTAAATTAGTACATTGGCTTCTGATTAAGTAATTTAGTCATCTATCAACTCGAGTCCAGCCAGTTCTGAGGCACCAACAACATTGTGTTTCTGCACCTGCAAGGCTAAGAATCAGATCCCAGACTGGAAACTTGACTAGGGTGATATCGCCTGTGGGGCTTCTCAATGTACCTGAAGGCCAGCTTGACTTCCTCTCTGGATAGCCAAGCTTGCAGTGTGTGTGTGTGTGTGTGTGTGTGGGTGTGTGTGAATGTGCAATGACCTTCCACACATGTTGGATGAAGAATTCAGATTTGGACATGTCGAGTTTCAAGAAATATTGGAACAGTCATGTAATCTTAGACATGAAGATGCTTAATAAATGTTTAATGGCAATTAGTTGAATGAAAAGGGATAAAGAACTGGTATGAAAGGCAAGGGAGGAATTTCAAGGATGGTGATTAATAACAATGACATTAAAACCAGCCTTAGGTGCTGGTTTATGCAATTGGCAGATTCTTTATGTTTTAATTTTCTTATTTCTATTTCACAGAAGCCTGTGAAGGTACTCAATTAGTTTTAAGAACATCCGAAGCTCTTCAAATAAATGGACTAAAATGGATTTGCAATGTTTTTGAAGGGGCTTGAATATTTAATTTTGATATTGCTTTTAAATATTTAAATTAAAGAAAATTTTTGATATTTTTGTATATGTTCTCAGGTATGATAAGTATTCTCAGCAACATAATAGTTCTGGGCATTTTCTTTAAGTACAAGGAACTTCGGACACCCACAAATGCAATTATCATTAATCTGGCTGTCACTGATATAGGGGTCAGTAGCATTGGTTACCCCATGTCTGCTGCTTCAGATCTGTATGGAAGTTGGAAATTTGGATACGCAGGATGTCAGGTATTGGAAATCTTTAGAGTGAAAGCTGGATAAAATAGATTAAAGAGATGTAGATTTAAATGTCTAAAAAAAATTTCAAAGATTTCAATTAAATAAGATTATATAAGGTAATAGATGAGGTGCTTTTGTTGAAAACAGCTTCAGGAGTGACTGGGAAATACATTCTTTAATAAGAGATATGAAATTGCTAGTCATCATTATATTTTCAAAATTTCCCTAACCGAAAGGAAAAAAACAAACTAACAAAAAATTAGCATTCAGCTAGAGAAGAAAAGCAAAAACGCCTATTCAAATGAAAACTTGCGTAATGCAAATTCAAAAAGAAATACTCTGCTTTCATTTGAAACAAAGAATTATTATATCATAATATTTAAGTCATGTAGTTAAGGTACTACTTGTTAATTTTTTTTTTTAATATGAAAAGTCCTCCATTAGAATTGCTGTTAAATATATCTGCTATTATTTTTACTGACAAGGAGATAAATTAATGTTAATTTGCATTAAGATAGTAGAGAAATAAGACTTTTGGCTTAAATTTTTAAAAGTTTATTATTTTAAGCTATAAAATTATAGAGAGTAAAATAAGAGTAATGGAAAATAGTAAATATCCATGTGTGCACCAACTAGATTTGTCAAATTTTAATGTTTTTCAATATGTGCTTCAGGTTGTTTATCTTTTTAAACATAAAATTTTCAGATATTACTGAAGGTCATTGCATATCATCCCCAATTTTATTCCCTTCTCTCCCATGAATATTTTTGTATCTTACTACATAGTAATGTATACATAAACTAGATACTGTCTGAATGTTTTAAATTTTATATAAATAATATATTGTTTACATTATGCAATTTTCTTTCATCATTTGATATTGTATTTTTGAGGTTTAGCCATGTTGATGGGCGAATTTGCAAGTCACTCATTTTATGAATATACCCTAATATACTTACTCATTTTTCTGTTATTGGGCATGTATTCCTAGTAGTTTTCTGTCACAAAAAGGACTTCAATGAATGTTCTTACAGTTGTCTCCTCCAACATGTGAGAATTTTTTAGACACATTGCTTAGGATAGGGTGGTTGGGTTATAGAGAATGTTCATCTTCAATTTTATCAGATATGATTAAATGGCTCTCCAAAATGGTTATGCCACTTACAAGGACTTCTATTTCTCCATATTCATCTCAACACTTGGGATTGTTAGACTTTTAAATTTTTATCTTTTCGATGGGTACAAAATGGTGTCTTATAATTTGCATTTCTTTGAATATGTAACGTGGTTTATACTTGTTCTATCTCATAAACATTCAGATTTCCTCTGTGTGACTAATTTATTTTCCTGTTTGTCTTTTCCCTTTATTGAATTGTCTGCCTTCTGAATATTAATCTTTTGTTTGTTATATGCATTGCACCTAATAGGTGGTTTGTTTTTGCACGCTGTTTATAAAACAGAGTATGCTCTGTAGAAGTTTTAAGTCTTAAAATTTAAAAAAAGTTTATTTTACTTTATGAAGTCCCAAAACATTTTCTAAAAATGCCTGTATTAAACTAGTTACAATTTGACAATGGAAGATATATTTTAAAATTAGAAAATAAAAAACATTCAATGTATTTAAAATACATTCTAACAATGGAATAAAAATATAAATGTCTTTTGAAGGGTATGTAGAATGGTGGATTCTTTCCAATTTTGATTTTCAGATTTATGCTGGATTGAATATCTTTTTTGGAATGGCAAGTATTGGACTACTCACGGTCGTGGCCATGGATCGATACCTGACCATCTGCCGTCCTGATGCAGGTACAGCACTTTCCTCAGCTTTCTCAATGAATCCGTTTTTTTTGCTCAAGTATCATTCAACACACGTTCACTTTAAAATATAAATGTAGTGGATTGCAGTCATGGTCAGCCTTATTCCTCTGATAATCCTTGTTCAAAATGTTCAGTGATTTTCTGTGAGAATAAAATCCAGATTTCCTAACAGCTTCCAAGGCGCTGTTTTGGCTAGGGCCCTCTCACTTTGGGGTCCTGACCATGCCCTTCCCGCTTGGGGGTCTTTGTAGATGCTGCTTCTTTATTTCTAGAAAGCACTTCTCTCTGCTTATCCTCAGGCTGATCCTTTTTATTATTTAGATTTCCAGTTAAATGCCTTTTTTTTTTTTTTTTTCAGAATATGAATCCATGTGGATAGGCTTTAAGTGAACTAAAGTGCTCTGTAGAGAATCTACTTGATAACAACTTTGAATTATCAGTTAAAAAAAAGTGAAGATATGAATTCCATTATTGGCAAATGATGCTAATATTTCATGTTTGTTAACAGGAAGAAGAATGACCACCAACACTTACATCAGCATGATTCTGGGGGCCTGGATCAATGGTCCATGTGGATAGGCTTTAAGTGAACTAAAGTGCTCTGTAGAGAATCTACTTGATAACAACTTTGAATTATCAGTTAAAACAAAGTGAAGATATGAATTCCATTATTGGCAAATGATGCTAATATTTCATGTTTGTTAACAGGAAGAAGAATGACCACCAACACTTACATCAGCATGATTCTGGGGGCCTGGATCAATGGCCTCTTTTGGGCCTTGATGCCTATCATAGGGTGGGCTAGTTATGCCCCAGATCCTACTGGGGCCACCTGTACCATAAACTGGCGGAAAAATGATGTGTAAGAGACACTTTTACACTTTAAAATCAAATGCTTTTAATGTAGATATTTTCTCACTATTTCAAATTTAAGCTCAGATCAAATGTTTTCCATATAGAGTGAGGCAAAGGGCTTCCTTGATAGTGATGATGTGATTTCAGCATTGAGTTATGCTAGTTTGCAAGTAAAGATCATCCAGCTTCCTGTTTCCCCCTTACCCTGACACTTCTTCTCTCTCCTCTGGGAGCAAAGGGGGTACAGAGCACCCTTCTGATATTTGCACCTCAGAGGGGAAATATGAGCGGAAACTGTTAGTATTGCTAGACAGCATACAGCTCTGGTGAAAGCTCAGGCTGACTCCTTATCTTGTCAAGTCAGTCTGGCGATAAGGCATCTTCTGAGAATTATGCAGCAAAAGAACTGTCATTGCAAGGATTTGCTCACTGGTTAGTGATGCTCCTCTATATTTACCAGGGAAAAGAGGGTAATTTAGTTTGTTAAAGAAGATGAAAGATTACTCAGAAAAACAAATAGAAAATTTTTAAATCTCAAACTAAATCTAAGTCTAAAATTTTTTCTCTAGGATTGACAAGTAAATAATTTAAGGCTTTACAGGCAGTACTGTTTCCGTTGCAACTATTCAACTCTGTTTGTAGAAACAGCCAGAAGCAGTATTTAAATGAATGTGGTTCCAACAAAACTTTAGTTATACAGATAAATGACAGGCAGGATTTGGCCCATAGGCCATAGTTTACCAACCTCTAGTCTAAACGAACTAAAAGTCCAATATACTTCTTAAACTATTTAATAAAATAAAGACTGCTGGATAGTGTCAGTGTTATTTTTAATTATTATTGTTGTTCTTCCCCTATTTAGTACATGAAAAATAAGTAGTGATTTAATGATTCCCTTTTCTTATTTTCAGATCTTTTGTTTCTTTCACGATGACAGTCATTGCGATAAATTTTATTATACCCTTGGCAGTGATGTTTTACTGTTATTACCATGTCACTCGATCTATTAAATGTCATACTACTAGTAACTGCACTGAGTACCTCAACAGAGATTGGTCAGATCAGGTAGATGTAACAAAGGTAAGGCATTAAAATCCTTAAGATATTTTGTAATCAAGCTTTTACACATATGTGATACCCTGGCCCCAGGAGTCACCTCTCTCTACTCCTTGATTTTTACTCTCTGGCTCTTTTTTCTGGTGTTTGCCTCCATATTTCTAAACACTGTGCTTATCTGCTGTTTTGAATATTTTTGTTTGCTACTACCTTTTGATTTCCTACTACAGACAATGAGAATTTATTTTTCTTATACCACCAACCTTTCCTATTCCTCCCACCAACCTTTCTCTCTCTTTATCTTATTAGTATAATGTTACTATTTGGTAAGATGAAGATTCAGTTTTATATTATTGTGATTGCCTAAATTTTATTTATTGCAGCTCTCTGTGGGAATCTATGATTTACATTTCTTTTTTTGTAAAACATTTTTTCTTCCCCATGGAGTTCATAATTTGTTTATTTTTTCTTTCTTTCTATCCCTTCCTCCTTCTATTTCCCCCTCTCTTTTTCGCTGCCTCCTCTCTTTTTGTAGTTTGGTTTTCTGTGTACTTGCCACTAATACATCTCTAATCTCTTCTCCAGAAACATCGATTTCCTCTCAGTACTTTCAAAGGCATCAGAGACTACATTGACTTTCTCCTGTTCTTGGAACTTTCCTTCCTGGCACTCCAGGGCCTCTCACTCTGCTTTACATTGGCCATTCTCTAAAACTACTGCCCAGAGAGCTGGCATCCTAGGATCTCCTTCATATCCAACTAGGAGGGCCTTTGACCTCTGTCCTGGGTCTGATCGCCTGTTTCCTGGGTTGCATGTCTTCCTTTTTCTAGGTTACTCCCTCTCCTTTGGTAGAGTACTTTCTTAAGAAGATTCCTGAGAATGTTACAGGGAGGTACATTTTTAAAGATTTTGCATGCCTGAAAATGTCTTAAAATTCTCCTATCATGTTTGACTGATTATTTGCCTGGTATAGAATTCTAAGTAGAAAAATGATTTTCAGAGACTTTTGAAGGCATGCTTTACAGTCTCCTAGCTTCCGGTGTTGCTGACGGTATTCTGGTGACTGACCTATCTGTGTGTTCTTTCTGGAAACTAGTAGGGTTGTTTCTCCGATTTCCTGGAATTTCTTACCAATGTGCCTTGGAGTGGCTCTTTTTTCACTCATGTGCTTGCACTTGGTAAGTGCTTGCAACGTGAAGACCAGGTTCTCCCCTGTGGGCGAGTCCCTGTCTTATTTCTCTGATGATTCCCCTCCCCTGCTCTGTTTTGTTCTCTGTGTTCTCTTCCTGGAACTCCTTTTGTTTGGATATTTAATCTCCTGGATTTACCTTCTAATTAAAAACAAAATTTTCTCTCCTATGTTGTCGCTGTTTGGGGTTTTCTTGTTTGTTTGTTTCTTGTTTTTTTTTGTTTGTTTGTTTGTTTTTGCATCTACTTTCTGAGAGATTTCCTCAGCCTTGTCCAGGTCTGGGATTTAGGTGAAGAGAGTGAGGCTCAAGCCTTGAGTGCAAAATTTAAACAGGCACCCAAAGACTCAGTAATCCAAAAAATAAAAAGTAGTCAATCAATGCAATATTTTAAAAAAGTCAAAATTAATGTAAAAACTCGTATTGAACATAATATAAAATTTTAAATAGAGACAGGATTGGACCCTACACTTGCACAACTCACGTCATTTGCCTTACCTAATCTCAGCTAACCATATTGTTCAACCTTTCCATTGTATTTAAAAAATTCTATCTTTTATATATAGGATAAAAACATTGTTATAGATAAAAGTATTATTTTATACTGTATACTCCTTTTAAATAGCCTCCTCTTGTTTTATATCTCTCTCACTTCTGTAATGTTATTATGTATACACTTACGTTTTCCTTCTGCTCGTCACATATTTTTTGTTTCTTCTGAGTTTTTTGCACCATTTTGGTCTCTGCCTGTCAGTCTGCCTATTTCCTCAATGTCTGGTGGTCAGTGACTGTCCCTGCATATTGAAGAGTGATGTCCTAAAAAGCTGATTGTAAGCTCTGCATAGGCTCTTTTATGGGCTGTTTCTTGGGGGATTTCTGACAGTCTGTATCTCTACATATTTTCTGGGCTAGTCAGTTTCCAAGGAGGTGATTCTTCCACATTCCAGAGTGCGGGGGGAGTACAAGTCTGTCTATCTGTATGCTCATGGCTCAGAGCAGGAAGAGGACAGCATACAGCACCCATCTTTTTAGTACAGCACTCCAGCTCTCAGCTAAGCCCAGTGTCCCCAACTCCTGAGTTTCCCTGCTCTCCTTCCTCTTATGCTGACCTTCTGAGGTGCTTCTGCGGGGAGGAAGAGGCAGCTAGCTGCCCGGTGGAGTGCAGAGGGGATCAGAAGTCTAACTGCTTTTTTTTGCAGATTTCAATGAGTTCCCCTGTTGTAAGTTCCGTGGGCAGCCCCACATTCAGAGCTAGCTGTCACCTCCAGTTCCTCAGATTTTCTACAGTTCTGTGCGATGGATTAGTCTGTGTCTGGTTTTTCCTCACTGCTAGCTCTCTAAAAATTATTAATTTATTTTTTGACCATTCTTGTGTCTGATAAGTAGTTTGCCACTTGTACAAAGGTTATTCAGTTTTAATTTTTACAAAGCTGTTGTTTAACCTGTAATTCTCAGTCCTTATGGGTTGATATTTTTTTTAAACCTCTTTTCCATCATTTCAGTGGGTAATTTGGAAGGAATAATGTAAAAATTATATTTTTGTTTAAATGAGATGTCAACAAAGCTCCTTTGCAAAATCGTCTGTACTGTACATTTTATATGTCAAGCTCAAATCATCTATATTTGAATTCAATGAGTTCAGTATAGGTTTCTTTTTTCAGATTGAGTTTAGAAAGTTAGAAAGTTATTTTTCTAGATTAGGAGATAATGACAGTGAGGGGAAAAAAACCCTGCAATGCCAGCAGTTCATAGCACAACTACTAGAAGTGGATTCGGAGTGAGTTTATATTTGCCTTTCATCAAAGCCAGCTTTCGTATTCTCCCTAGCACACCAAAAGAAAGCAGCCCTTCTTTACACTTGTGTCACATTCTATCCATTCACAAGCTCTTGTTATCATAGATGACATCTGATTTTGTGCATGAGCAAAGTACAATGAAGGGTTTT